ATTTTCTTTTATTTTCTTTGTTTGAAATTTTTGCTCAGTATGTGGGATCAGGTGACTTCAACATGACTTTACTACTTTTGTTTCAGACGTGACCTCCTGTTTGCAATGGATAAGTGAAGTGGAAATAGGTTCTTACAGTGAATACAGAAATGTCAAATTGATGAGATTTGATGTTCCCCTTGATACACTGGAAATCAAGTGGGATTTTCGACCAAGAAGGAGTGCAGTTTCTTGTGAAAAAATCCCTATCAATGTGTAAGTAACTTCTAGGTTTAGTAAGATATCACTCAGACTGTCATTTCAATGGGTTGGCTTTTTAACCTGATTGCATAATGATAGTAGATCAATTTTTAACATGTACAGTCGGTAGCGCACAGGGTAAAAGTTAGACTGAGATAATTGAATTATAGAAAGCAAAGTTATTGTGATCTTTATCTTTAAAACCATGCAAAATACTGTAATGTTGTATCTTATTTGTATTTTTGATTTTTAGCTCTTTTTTTCTGGATTAAATTATTGCAAAAAAAGAAAAAAAAGATTTGTGCTACAGGATGTATGCATTGTGGATTCAGAGTAAAAATTGACTAAGAGTTATACAATCAGCACTCCTGTTAGATGTTAAATTTCCTTACTGCACATTTCCCATTCAGGTTTTCATTAGCCAATTAAGAGGCTGAAAATTAATATAGAAACCTAGATATATAGATTTTTTTTTCTTTTACATACTGCTGTTTGTCTTTCAGAATTATACAATATGGCAGCATTCCCCCAATAAATGGTTTGAATGAAACATATCCTGATAATTTTTACCTAGAAAGAACCAATCGTTTTCATATCTCACTTCATCCTGATAACACATCACAAATATTCTCCATACACTATCCTAAAGCTGGCACCTGGTATTCTGCCATGTACAGACCATTTCAAGAAGGCAAAATAACACAAAAGGTACTCAGATCTCTTTACTGAATATATAGAAAATTACAGAATAAACATTTTCAAAAATGAAACCTATACATGTATTACGAATTACATGCATATTCGTTATGTGAACAGTTTCACACAGGATGTAGCAAATTTGTAAAGTCTACTATCAATAATTGCATTCACACGAAAGCCAACTTGTTATGTGTTTAATAAACACTCACTGTAATAAATAAACATTGCAGCCAAAGACTATGTCCATTTTATTTGCATCCATTATAGTTTCGGCTAGTATAACATCAAATCCTAGTTTGTATAACACGATTTATGAAAGAATTAGGATGTCATGTCTATAATGACCTGGATAACCCACTACAGTCCTGAAAAATTCCTTTGTGTCTTAGAAAATATTTAAGAAATATGAAAGAAGTGATTTTAAGTTTTTTGGTTAGTCAATGAGTTAAAGATTTTGTAGTTGCAAACATGGTAGCCATTTTCAGATCTGATTTAATTTTCAGGGTTTGTTTTCAAGTTGTAAATATTTTGTCTCAATATCATATGACACTCCATCAGATGTATATTATACACCTATATCAACTACTGGTATAATCACATCTTTAATCTTGAACAACCAGTCAGATCAACATATACAGTAAGCTAAAATTATTATTTAGTGTTTTATTAGTCTGGAAATAGTTTCTATTTATGATAATTTTTGATAATGCCAATATCAAGAATTTAGCTTGTAACTATCATTATTCAGCTATTTCTTTAGTCAGTGATATGGATGACTATTAACATTTATATTGGGTATTTGCTCCTTTTCAGCACTTGCTAACTATAATTTGTAATGGCAATGATCAGTATGCATTATCAAGCCTAGAAATAAACACTGAAATACCTTTTACTCAAGTTTACACATTAAGATTACATGCTACAGTGCTTAATTTTGTTAAATCATTTTTGGAATAGACCTGATAAGTTGAAAAGAAACACTATTACTCAAAGCTTGAAGGATGGAGGTTAAATGGTTTAATGATTGAAATTAAGTTTTTAATGTGTCACTGTTTATTCCTTCAAACATAGAATACCTCAACTTTAATTAAAGACATTGTTAACATTTAAAAGGGCTTAGATTACAATCTATATCAATGAAATTGGAACAATTTCAGAATATCTTTATGAATATTTGGTAGAATGTTTCTTCTAACGGAGTTTCAGCATTATTTATAAGCATATTATATAACTAACATTTGAAATTTTGAATTGGCATGATATAAGAAAATCATCAATTGTAAATTAGTTATATATTCAAGATGATCCACATGAATATGTTGTCGTATATTGTTGTTGCCCCTGTCCGTCGGTCCGTCAGCATTTCTTGTAAGCACTATAGAGACTACAATTTTTATCTGATTTTGATAAAACTTGGTGTGATGCTTTAGGTTGATAAGATCTCGGTCAAGATTGAATTGGACATATTTTTGATGACCGGTTTTTGAGATATTGCCCTTAACTTTGTTAAAATGCATCGAAATTTGTTAAAAATAGTTCGTGAGCAGGATTGAAGCTACAGTTTTCAACCGATTCTGATGAAACTTGGTGTGATCATTGAAATTGATTAGATCTCGGACAAGTACTAACTTGACGCATTTCCGATGAATGGTTTTTGAGTTATTGCCCTTGACTTTGTGAAAACGCGTCAAAATTTGTTTGTGAACACAATAGAGACTACAATTTGAATGAAATTTAGTCTGATGTTTTATATTCATGAGATCTTGATTTTGTTTGAATTTCACGATTTTTCGATGAACGGTTTTTGAATTATTACCCTTTAGTTAGGAAAACTCGTCAAAATTGTTTGTGAACACAATAGAGACTATAGTTTTCAACTGATTTTAATGAAATTTGGTATGATCATTTATATTGATGAGATCCTGGTCAAGTTCAAATATGACAATCTTTCAATGAATGGTTTTTGAGTTACTGCCCTTGACTTAGGAAAAACGCGTCATAATTTGCTTGTGAACACAATAGCGATTATTGTTTTTAATTGATTTTAATGAAATTTTGGTTCGATCAATTATATTGATGAGATCGTGGACAAGTTTGAACGCGTCAACATTTTTTTCCCTTGATTAGAGCTGTGTGATTTAATTATTTGTTGTAATTGGGTTATTGGTGATGCCCCAATTGATTTTAAAAATTTTTGTGGAATTACTCAGCATAAATAACTGGCATATAAATATATAATTTAATTCAAACTAATACAATTTCTTCAATATGAGAAAATTCGTACTTTAGTCACTAAAGACTGTTTTATAATTTCTGACAGCTGCCAGTGGGTTTATGTTACCTCTTTGATGTAAGATATCATCATTTAACTTTGTATATTTAAATAACTTACGTTTTATTTGCATTATTGTTATATTGTAAATGTAACTGTGCATTATATGTTTTATCTATATTTTTCTGAACAATAAATTTAATAAAAAAAAAATTAATAAGTAAAAAATCCTTCTGTTTCTGTATGTGTCATTCATATATTTCAGATTCCACATGACAGAAAATGTTTACGAATACACACTCACTCTTTCAAGCTGCCAGCCAGACTGTCAAGATATCCAAATACAGTTTTTGGGAACACAATTCAACACATCATTGCCAAATATGATCAATTGTACTTCTGACCCAATTTGTCAGTTTACAGTTATTTCGCCAAAGTTAGTTGAACCTCAGAAATATCAGATCAGGACTGGAAATGGAGGAACAATCAGCTACAATATCAGTGTTCAAAAGAAAGGTTTGTTAATCTTAGTTTAAATACTTAATGTAACAGTGACAGTGTTGGTCATGAAGCAGAAAATACTCATCCTTCCAGAGCACCTGATGATTCCCTCCACCCCCCACCCTGGTAGTAGTTGTTGGAAGTTGTATAATAATCAAGAAGCTGTTTTAGTGCAATTTCAGTTTCTGTATCACTTTCCTGAATTTTGTCACTCTGTTGTCATTTATATGACAAATCAGATGTCAAATTGTCTTTCTTAAAAGTGATACAGTCATCAGAAACTGTATTTTCTATTTTTATATATTTTTTAGAATGTGTGTCTGAAGAAGATTTCAATGACAACTCAACTGGCTGTAAGATGTACAGAGATCTTGATAGATTGCAGTCAAGGAATGATTTTGATGTTGCCTTTGCTTACATCAGTAACAATACTCTTCATCCAATTAAAGTTAATGTTTCTAGTGATGTCACCAATAATTTACCATTCCATGTTATGCCCCAACTTGATATGGGAGGAACGTTAAATATTGAAATGGTTTTAGATAAATCATCCATTGTAAGTTCAGTTTCTTCTTCTTATCCCAAAATTTGATTTGATCTTATATCAGTTGCTGTGATATAGAGGCCTGGCAATATATGTGAAATATTTCCATCTTCAATTTATTTTCAGAACACATCAGAACATCATTCAAGGGTGTGTGCCAGTATATACCAGGGATATATTGTAACTGTAATAGATAACTCTGAATTGATAAAGCAAGAAAACACAATTTGTAGTAATAGTAGTGGTCAGACGTCTGGTGTTATTAACATTCCATATCCTGAATCTGATACTTGGATTATTTCCCTTACTACAGATTGTTTTACAGTGAATGGATCAAGGTTAGATATTACATCAGATTATTTTTGCTCAAAGGGATGTGAATAGTTTGCAATACAAATTTTGAAAATGTACAGTTTCTGACGACCTTTAAACCTCTCAAGCTAATGAAAGTCATGTAATATTCTGTCCTCAACAATAGATTACTCCTGCTGCTGCATACATTAGGTATTACACATCCTTATATACAAACAATATTGTTGAAGATAGTTGATTGAGCTATTCTAAGGCTATTAAATGAATTATATTTAATATATTCCATGCTTCAGAACTCAATTTATTTACTAAAATGTATTCTCCATTATTAAATATTAGGTTTGTTGTTTCAGCATAATTATTATACCATGTTCAACAGACTGGCTGCAAGCAAGACTATCTGTCTCTACTAGTAGGTGTTACCATGGTGACTGTAGTGGACGTGGTAATTGTAAAGAATATGTTGTTAGTCCTAGTCTTATTATATATAGCACCTGTGTCTGTTCTGCTGGTAAGTAATTTGGATGGGGTAAATAGTACTGTTTATTTGGTTTTATTTGATAAATGTTACAAAACATTCTGTGGGTTTTTTGTATATTCACCTAAGGATTGTTTCAGTTTTATTTGATTGTCTACTCTACATCTAAAGTGATTATAGTCTTCTTAATATTTGCTTAATTTCAGCTATCTTGCTATTACTCAGAAAGCAAATAGGTATATGGTTATATACCTTAAATTGTTGTGTTTTGTTTACCTTCAGAATTTCAATGCTTATAATTTCAGGGTGGCAAGGATATGGGTGTACTGATGGTAGTAAAGCATATAGTGTTGGCAGACAACTAGAGGAAGTGTTATTATTAACACTTAGTAATCTGTTCTTTATACCTGGAATCTGCCTAGCATTAAAACGTAGATATTATGTAGAGGCTTTAGTCTATACATACAATATGTTTTTCTCTACGGTAAGGGGTTTGAGTAATAAGTAAAGAGATGCAAGTTGTTGGTAATATAAGACCTTGATCTAACACTTCTTGTCACTAATCTGATTAATTAATAAGACCACATTTTGTCGCAAACACTCTGAAATCAACAGTCAACACTAATGACTATATTTTTTAAGAGCTTAATTAATCATAATTTTATACCATACTCTCTTACATAATCAAATAATACATGGCGTGAACAAGCTCAAAGCCTAAACCCCTTTTCTTTTTTTGAGATAATGAAAAATCTAAACATGAAAATTTATGAATAGGACTTTTGGCATTAGTAAACCAAAAAAACATTATTAGGTATGCTGGCCCACAGAAAGGGATGTTGTCATGATATGTTCTGGAACTCGAAATGTGAACATGTCCTGCTGCACTTTCCACAGTGCTTTTTGTAATGTACATGTAGTTCAAATTCAATAAGATCTACTTTTATTTTCAGTTTTATCATGCCTGTGATGGAGATAGAGAGGATGTATATACATTGTGTATAATGAAATATAATGTTTTAAGTTTCTGTGATTTCCTGGGTTCTGTGTGTTCATTATGGGTGACAGTGGTTGCTATGGCAAGGGTTTATTCTCCTGTGACGGTATTGCTACAAGTATCAGCACCATTGTTTTTAGTTGTGGGGGTTTTATATGATAGAACCAGTTTGTATGTTATTGCTGTTCCCTTGTTATTAGCTCTAGTTCTTATGGCTATATCATGGGTAAGTATAAGGTTTTGACTTAATAGTAAAGTTTAGCCATAAAAGCACACAGTTTTCCATTTTTGAAGGTTATTTGAGTGGTAATTTTTGGATTATGGTTTAGTAGCAATATGGAATCTTTAAAATGGCGTCTATTCCTCTTATTCTTTTGTTTTGGAACAGGGTGAAATGTACTTTTAATACATGTGGAGGTGATTAATACTATGGAAGAAGTACATCTGCTATTAATTCAAAGTTTAATTTGCCAGATCTTTTAAAAAATAAAAAAAGGATGAGATTAGTGTAAGCATACCATAGCCCCGTTAGATGATTTTTACCTGCTTTGACCTGTCACTTAAATAGTATTATTTACTTTTTATAAATGTTGCCTTTCCCGAGAAAAGATATTCTCTTTTAATTAAAGGCGTATTCTGCTTTTTTGTAAAATGTTTTCATTATCAAAAACTTTGTAAGTTATACCTAAAAAAATATTTCTATAGTATGCTATTTATATCTATACATCTTCTTGATCAAACTGAATTTTAATAGGTTTAATTAAAAACGGAGAGTAGTAGTTAATTTAACAGTTTGATGTAGTTTTGGTGTTTGGCTTTTTAATGGTTAGATAATATAAGTTAAAACATTTAGAATACGTAGATTTTGGTGTATAGTTTTCATAAATTTGAGCAAAAAAATTTCTCAACCCACAAAAAAAGTGGAAGGTCATTTTAATGAAAATGCCAGTTTTTTTATTGAAAGATTTTAATTATTAATGTTCTTTTAGGGTGTACGATGCAAAAAGAGAAAAACATGCTATCCAACTTGGCGAAGATATCTTTTCTGTTTACTACCAGGGATTTTAATAGCTGCCACTGGTGCCTTCATATTTGCTTTTGCAGAAACAGAATCTAATTATAGGTTCATACACAGTGTTTGGCATATGACCTTATCACTTAGTATAATATTTCTCCTTCCATCCCGCAATAATAAAAAAGGTAAGCACAAAACATTTTTAGTTTGCTTAATAAATTTATTTGTATTACTACTGACAATATAAGGTATGCTTCCTTAATCATTTTATTTTAACTTTCTCTAACTTAACTCTTTTTTTATCACAATTATGCTTACACTTGTTCTTCTGCATTTATTTTGCACCCTTTGTCTATAATGTGTTGTCAAATCAAATCAAACTCAAAAATTATATATTCTTATATTCTTCTTGAATGCCGATTTTGTGCAGAGATGTAGATTTTGTATATAAAAGATAACATTTTAGTTATTAAAAGCATTGAATACAGAATTAGAGTACATGAAACATCTTTTTGGCATATAACTTGTATAAAAATAGATGAAATATATATTGTGACATATAACTTATATCAGAATAGATGAAACTTATATTGTGACATATAACTTATATCAGAATAGATGAAACTTATATTGTGACATATGACTTATATTTGGCCTGTCACTCATTAAGAATAGATAAACATAGTTTGTCTTGTTACTAATCTCAATAAAGATGAACTCTATTATATTTTTGGCGTAATATAATATAGAAGATTACATTTAAATTATGCACTGCAGCATTGCTTTAAGACATTAGACACACGGTATTTGATTTTGATGGAATCCTGCTTATTCCTTGCTTTTATTGTTTTCAGCTTCTGCACGGAATAGTGTGGTCTCATTAGGGGTTGAACCATCAGATACTGATTCTAATCCTTCATTTCGTGAAGATTATTCAAAGATATCAGTCTAAGTTTATCAATCTAGTCCAACGGTTTCTGGACCAGGTAGTTTTCCCATGAGACTTACAGAATTATGCCAGGGTCAATGACTCCACTTTGTTTCAATTTCTGTCAGCTCATTGAATTGTATATCATGTTATCATTTTGTAGAATTTTGTAAATGTTATAATTGGACACAGATCAAACATTTATGTTGTTCTGCAGACAAATGAAGAATCACAAATCACCAGCTAAACCCAAAACATCAGTATATAACATGTATCTTTGACTTCACCTTTTAATTGGCCATGTGTTCAATCTGTCATGGTGTACATAGCGAATTTTGCAGGAAAGGTTTCAAAAGTCAGAATAGTGACCAATATATTATAATATTTTATCTACCAGCGATTTATGGCAGAATATACATTCTTGTTATCATCAGTAATTCCATATATTGTTCCACTGCTGTGCAAATGCTATTGTTATTTGAACATTTTTTTGTCTGTGAACCTTTTGTCCATTTTTTACTTTTATGGTTTATAGTACTCTTTCTGACACTTGCTGCCTGGCTCCTAATGTTAATGATTTACTAGTATATATGCAGGTTTTGGGCACATATTTATATAGTTTATATG